GTGGGGTGAGGTGGGAGAGAGAGGGGGATGGGAGGGGCTTGGGGACAGGAGGGGCTTGGGGGGACACATGGGGATATGGGGGACATAGAGGGTCTTAGGGACGGGGGGGGCTTTGGGGACACACATGGGGACATGGAGGGGCATGGGGAGCTTTGGGGACACAGGAGGACATGAGGGTGATACAAGGGACTTTGAGGGTCTCGGGGACACTGGCACAATACGGACATTGGCATCAGGGGGCAGTGGGGGACACTGAGGGACATAGGGGGGCACAGGAGGACATGAGGGACATTAGGGGCATGGTGGGGATGGGGGGATGAGGGCACGTTTTGGGCACAGGGGACACTGGGGGCCACAGGGGTGTCCTGGGAGGGTGGTGGCAGTGGTGCCCCCAGGCTAGGGGTCAGGATGGTGGTGGGTGGGGACCCAGTCCTACGTGTGTCCCCCCCAGATCGAGGAGATCTTCAAGAAGGCGGGCCACCCCTTCATGTGGACGGAGCACCTGGGCTACATCCTGACCTGTCCCTCCAACCTGGGGACGGGGCTGCGGGGGGGCGTCCACGTCCGCCTGCCCAAGCTCAGCCAGCACCCCAAGTTTGAGGAGATCCTCAAGCGCCTCCGCCTCCAGAAGCGTGGCACAGGTGGGCACAGGGACAGGGGGACGGGGGGATGTGGGGATACAGGGCACGGGTGGGCATGGGGACACAGGTGCCGCGGGGTGCTGACCCCCCTGTTCCCCCCCCCCAGGTGGGGTGGACACGGCGGCTGTGGGCGCCGTCTTCGACATCTCCAACGCCGACCGCCTGGGCTTCTCGGAGGTGGAGCAGGTGCAGATGGTGGTGGATGGGGTGAAGCTGATGGTGGAGATGGAGAAGAAGCTGGAGCAGAACCAGTCCATCGACGACATGATCCCCGCCCAAAAATAGGGGACCCCTCCTCGGGCACCCCCCCAGGACCGGCCTCAATAAACGCTGCTGGTCCCCACTGCGGCCCCAAGCATCTGGGCTAGGAAACACAGGGGGTCCCCACCCACGCGAGGGGGCTGCCATCCCACCCACTCCGGGGCGCCTTTGCGGCCCCTCCCACCCTACAAGGGGCAACTTCACCTTAACTCTGCCCACGCCCCGAGATCGGGATTGGGGGGGGGCCGGTACTGATGGGCACCAACACTGACAGGTTTCCTATGTTTATTGGGGGGTCAGGGTACAGACCGGGGCAGGAATAACTTAAAAATGTGCTGGGGGAGG